TTTTTTTTTTTCCGTGGCCCTAATCCTCTTCCGTAGATGATGTTACTGGTGGCTTCAGAGTTGTAGTTTAAGCATCCACGGTGTCTAAACTGCAGAAGTCCAGGAATCCCGTTCCTGCTGTCCAGATTGGAGCGTCTTACTCCACAGAAATGCAGAGCGGTTGATCCCAGAGCGTTCAAACCTGTTTTATAGGCGGGATCGCTGACTCACGCGTTCCCATCACGCTGTTTGAATTCAGTGACCTCACTTTATGATGCGTCCTCCTCCTCCGGGCCGTGACCTCAGTCCAGCTAACTAGATTAACTGTGTCAGAGGAGAAGCAAATGCTGGTTTTATTTATTTTTTTCAGACCTCGTGGTGGAGGAGGGCTCCCCCCCACCCCACCCCAGTCCCTCCCTGCTGGCAGCTGTTACTGAGTCTGTCAGTGGGATCCAGCTGTGCAGACGAGCAGGGAACATTGCGTTCCGAGTTCACGCCGGGGCCCGGATCTTGTTTTTTTTTTTTTTGGGAACATGCAGCCCACAGAGCTGAATGGCGCTTTGTGACCACAGAACTGGCCCTATCCCCCCCCCCGTGGTCTCTGGCTTGTTGTTGTGGAGTTAGGGACAGTGTGTGAAGTTCGGGGATCCCAGATGTGGTGATCTGTGCTGTTTGAGTTCGTATCTCATTTTGCCTTTTGTCCTCCTCTTCTGTTTCAGCATCAGTGAGAGTTTCCTCACAGTGAAAGGTGCCGCCCTCTTCCTCCCCAGGGGGAAGAGCCCCACGTCCAACACTGCGCCTCTCCTCAGCCAGCGCAGGAACAAGCATACGGGTACACACCTTTACACACAGCACACCTGCAGCTTCTTCAGAGGAAATTTGTAGATGAAGTCAAGTAGAAGTGCAAATTAAATCACAGCAAAATGAAATTAAATGCTTTAGATAATGAACAGAAAATGCATCCAAATATTCAGAATAAGGCGGGTCCAAATGAGATGAAAACAAACGGATTACTTTAATGTGATCAGTAGCAGCTGATTACAGAAACTGATCTAAAAATAAGCACAGATCTTTAGGAAATGTTCGTATTTTCTCTCATTGGAGCAACTAAATTGGATAAAAGTAGTTTTTTTTTTTCACTTACAACAAGATACTGGAGTTGTTTCTTTCTTATTCTAAACATTTGTGTAAAATTGTCTAACCTATCTATAAGAAAGTTTTGATCGTTCAAAGAAAAATGGACTAAATTCCAGTTTCTGCAGAGCAGTTTAAATTGAGCCCAGTTCTTTGCCGCAGAGGTTTCCCAAACATTTTAAACTCTGCTTAAAATACATGAAATCACTGCAATCTGTATTTATTTAAATATATAAAGTGAAATAGTTTTAAATATATACTTTGATTCATTGATTTTATTGGAATGCATTTTATACATCATGCAAATATGCTGTATTCAACTAAAGAGGATTATTTTATTCTATTTCCCCTAAATATGGAAGAACAAACTAGCATAGATGACCTTTGGTTTATGACAGATTTTAATGTTTAGATAAAAGTAAAAACAAACCACGCCTATTTTTAGACATTGATTTAAAAATGAGTCAAAACATGAGTACAGCTTTTTAATGACATTCCATTTAATGACATTTTATTAGTTAATTTAACATTTAAAAGTACTTTTATTTAAGGAAAGGTTAAATGGGCAAATTATTATTAGAGAAACAAAAACTGTTCCGTCTGTTTTTTACTTTTATTTCTTTTATCCTCATTTCTGTCCTTCAGTATGTTTTAGCTCTGTTTAGGGATGATCTCATAATGATTGTGAAAACCATCTTATGACCTTTGACTTAGTGTCTCCCGACCTGCTGGAGGGTCATGATCCCCGCTTTGGGAACCTCCTGCTTTGTAGGGTAGGAGTAGAGATAAGGCGGTTAATTAGGCTACGTTCACACTGCAGGCCTGGAAGCTTAATGCCGATTTGTTTTGTGAAAAATAAATTTCCGTTGCCGTTTACATTTCCAAATATTTGCGACTTGCATGTGATCTCCTGTGTGAACTGCAGTCATACAGCTTAAGTGTTGTGCATAAACAGTTGAGGCAATGAAGTCATAAGTAAGTTTGCTCTGTGTTTACGGAAGTAAACATGTATGGTAGTGCTTAAAAACTTTAAATGACCCAGATTTATGCTTAAAAACTCAATCTTTTCAAGATGGTTAATCATAAATGCTGCTCCCCGCATCATTTTCAGCCATGGTTGTTGTTTTTCTTGCGCTTCTGCGTAGCAAGAAACAAAATAGTGACCTTTGTTGGGTATTAATGGCGTTCAGGTCGGATGAATGTGACCTGGCCGTTCAGACACAGTTCGCATTTGAAAAAATCAGATTGGTATCGGATTCAGGACCACATAGCCAAGTGGCCTGGATCATTGGAAAAAATCTGATCTGTGTTGTTCAGACAGCCATGAAAAGATCAGATCCAGGTCACATATGAGCAAAAAAAAATGGATTTGTTTCACTACAGGCAGCAGTGTGAACTCAGGCTGTCCGCTGAGGTTGGCAGGGGGCACGGAATCCCTCTCTGACTGCTTTAACTGGTCAGCCAGCTGACCAGCAGTGTGCAGCAGTCGGGGATAGACAGAAAACTGCTTGAGGCGTTGATGGGGCTTCATGAAGGTTTTGAAATTGGGATGCAGGCTGATGTGTAGGAGAGCCTGTTGTGAGCTCACACCTCAGAGGGAAGTGACACACCGTCAGAGGTTTTATGTCTCTTTGTCTTCTAATCCTCGGATTATGATCCAAAATAAACAGAAACCGAAGTGAAACGACTAAAAGTTTCTTTTCTTTCCCTCCAGGCGACCTCCAGAAACACCTTCAGACCATGTTCACCGTGCTGCGGCCTGAGGACACCATCCGCCTGGTCAGTGACACACGGCGTAGCATGACCTTGGCCTGGCGGCGGGACGGGCCTACGTCAGCGCCGGGTTTCACTTCTTTGTTGGGCTGCATAAAGAAGTGAAACCTGGCTCGGGTGTAAAGCAAGCATAAGAAAGTACAATGCTCAGAGGGAAGGGGCGTAGTGCTTTTCTCTTCTTTCATGCCGTTTATGTTACAAAAAGGCTTGTTGGAGAGAAAAAACCAAAACAAAGGATGGTGCAGAGCTTACAGCCGAACAGTTTCCCTACGTCTGTCTGTGTTGAAATAAAAACAAAACAAAAGAGTTGAACAACTTTTCTAATTTTCTATTTTTTCCTTTCCCCGTCCTTCCAGGCTGTGCGTCTGGAGAGCGCCTACCCTCAGGTGACCCGTTACATGGTGGTGGTCTCCACCAACGGCAGGCAGGATACAGAGGAGAGCATCGTGCTCGGCGTAGACTTCGTCTCCTCCGATAGGTCAGTTCCCACGGCAACGGCGAACCGCTGTGTTTGCAGCGTCATGACAACAGCTCAGCAGAGACTCCCTCTGCAGTAATATCTATGCTGTTTTTCATACCCGGTGTTTGTTTTGATCGCCCTGTCCTTGTTTACCCATAAACTTCCTGCTTTAACTCATAAACACGTGTAACCGGCTGTCAGACCAACCGCAGATTTGCTTGTCGATGTCTCCCTGCAGCTGCTGCACCGTGGGGCTGGTTCTACCGCTCTGGAGCGACACTTTGATCCACTTGGACGGAGACGGGTAAGTCACCACACCTATGTCACACTTCCTCTCGACGCCCCTGGAGGACTGCAGCCGCGTTTCATTCCACTCCTCATGCAAACATTTAAATAAAGAAAATGCTGATTAGTAGAAATCGACCCATAAAAGTCCGTCTAACTGCTATGTGCTGCCACACTGCAAAAATATAAATCTTACAAAGTCATTTTTTTCTTAAAATAAGTACATTTGTTCTTGAATGGAACAAGACAATTTACATTTAAAATAAGAAAAAGCCATTGCTTTGTCTCATTTCAAGTGCATATTATCTAATTATTTTATTTTAAGAGTGAAACTACTCATTTCATTGGCAAATCATCTTATTTACCTACTCAAATTAAGGTTAAATACACTTGATTTAAGACGTTTTTACTCATTTCTAGATCGTTTTTGCAGTGCAATAATTTTAGGCCCACACTCATTCTTCTTCCTTGATAGAAATGACAGGATAACAAATGTTACTCCATTTAAGTAAAAAGAAACTAATAAACAATATGTTTATCTCAAGGCATGGCTGCTGAGTGCTTTAATGAAAACGTGTCGACCAATGCAAGAAAAATAAATGCTAATATCAGCCTAAAGTATCGCTCAGCTGATATATAGAAAAATACACTTAAAACCACCTCAACGGGCCTGTGTCTACGGAAGAGAATTAGGGCCACTGGAAAAAAAAAAAGTTAACTGATTTTTA